AATAGTAAGTTTTAGGAAAGTTAGGGTTAACACAACATGAAAGAAATAAGCAAAGAATAAAAACATATTTTCCTGACAGAGATGAAACCAATGATCACTGATTCCAGAATCTAGATTAACTCCAAAAGGTTGAAAAGAGTTTAGATTAGCGATCCAATAAGCTTTTTTTATTTTTCTATCAGCTTTAGTTTTGAATCCTTTTCAGTACCGATGAGAGTAATATCGTCAATGGAATGACCTGACCGGGCTGATTAATTAAAGTGTTGAGCAACAGGGGGATTTTTTTCGGTGTAAATAGAAGATTTATGGTTGTTGAAACGTTCTCCTAAAGTTGTTTGTTTATGTCCTACATATTAGCGATTGCATTTGTTACACTGTATAAGGTAAATGCTGTTTTGTGTTCCACAAGTGAGTTCTTTGAATATTTCAAAGTTTCTTTGGTTGTGCTTGTCAGAAAATGAGTCAGTACTTTTTATGAACTTGCAGGTTTGACAACAAACTTTAGTACATGGACGACAAACATTTATTGGTGGGATGTAATTCATTTTTTGTGTGAACAAGGATATCTTTTAGAGTTCTGCTTTTTCAAAAGGAGACAACGGGAAGTTCAGGAAATATATGTTCGGTTGTAGGAGATGAAAATGTATCTTCAGAATTCGTGAAACGTTTCTGAGTTTAAAGTGATAGGCAATAATAATAAGAATTATATTTGAAACTTTAGTATTCTTCTGTTTTAAGATGTTTTTCTACTGATTGTTTTAACATTTTCGATCTGTCTGTTGATTTCGGTATCTTTATATCCTCTTGTAACATGGTTTGTTTTAGATCCTTGATGTGTTTCCTGTAGTCTGTTTCATCTGAGTATATTTTCTTTATTCTATGAGCTTGACTGTAGGGAATGTTCCGTTTAGTATGAGTGGGGTGACAGCTTTTATAGTGAAGGTATTATGGTCTGTCTGTAGGTTTTTGTACAAGTTGTTGTGTAAAATTCCGTACTTTAAAAAGACAGTGACATCAAGAAAGTTAATTTGGGTAGGTGAGTAATCAAAGATAAACTTGATTGTTTTGTGAAAGGAGTTTGCGTATGAGATAATTTTTTTAAGTGATTTAAGACCGGCTGTCCAAATGAAAAATATGTCACCTACGTACCGTTTCTATGTATGAAGTTTTACAGGGTTTAATTTTAAAAGCTAGTTTTCAATATGACCCATAAAAATGTTAGCATAATTGGGAGCCATTTTGATACCCACTGCAGTACAGTTATCCTGAAAGTATTGTTCATTATTTAATTTGAAGTTGTCAGAGTTAAAACCAGGCTGGCAAGATCAGTTACTGTTTGAGATTTTGATTGGCTAGAAAGGTTTAACGCGGACTTTAGAGTTTGTAGTCCTTCATAATGTGGAATGTTGGTGTAAAGGGAAGAAACATCCATTGTGCAAAAATGATTGTTAGGCGGTAACTGTCTGTTAGTATTAATATCTTCTATGATGTTAAGAAAGTGAGTAATAGCCTTTATGTAAGAAGGGAGGATACAGGGAATACATTTTATGTGTTGGTCAACCAAAGCGGACAGCTTTTCAGTAGCAATGTTTATGTTATAAATTATGGGTCTGCCAGGATTGTTTGGTTTGTGTATTTTGGGTAAGAGATAAAATTTACCAGGAAAAGTTTGTCTGGGTATCAAATACTGAAAAGTATTTTTGTTAATTTTGTTGTTTTAGAGATGTTAAGTTTATCAGCTATGGTCTTAATAAACTGAGTTGTAGGATCATGTGAGAATCTTTTTGTAGAAATTAGTGTCCTCTGGTTCCTGGTTGATTTCCGTGATACAGTGATCTTTGTTAAGAATAACAATAGCTCCACCCTTGTCTGCTGGCCTTATTATGATATTGTTGTTTAATTTAAGATTGTTTAAAACAGTACTTTCATTTTGGTTAATATTATTAAGACATTGCTTGGAAGATTTTAAGGTCTGTATTGTATCAGTTTTTACTACTTTAATATAACTCTCTAAATGTGGTTCTCTGTTTGGTGGAGATGTCCATATAGACTTTTCTTTAAAGTTCAGTGTATGTTGATTTTCAGTAGAGTGGGGTTTGTTGTGAAAAACTTCTCGAAGTCTCTGTTTCCTGGAGAATTCATGCAGTTCAGAAAGACTTTGGGCTCATTAATATAGCTGTTGTTTGGGCAGAAGTTGAGACCTTTACTAAGAAGACTGAGTTCTGCTTCAGCAAGAGTTATATCTGAAAGATTAACAATGTTAGAGATAGGTGGTAAATGTTCATCGTTATCTGTACCTTTTATGAGGTCACTGTTGTTTTCAACAGATTTGTTAGTGTGAGAATGTGTATTAGAGGATGAAGTGTTTTTAAAAGTATTTTTAGGCTGTTAATTGTGAGATAAAGGAATTTTTATAGATTCTGGAGATTGTTTGATGCTATGGTTGTTTTTTTGTGATAAAAAAGAGGGTTCGAAAGAGTGTTGCTAGAAGCACTTTTTGAATTGGTATTATTAGTAGGAAGCTGATTTTTGTTATTCTATTGAAAAAGGAATGTATCAGTTCTCTTTGTGAATTTTTGTAGTTCTTTTTCTTACATCGAAGGGTTGTACAGGTGGTAATAGTGGGAAATTTCTTTATCTAGAATATCGACAGAATGTTTTAGTGATATTCATGAGATATAAGGAGGTGTTTTACAGGATCTGTTGCCACTTGTTGCAGAAGTTCTAATCACGTGCTCCTATTGTGAATACATGATTTAATGCGAGAGATTGAGGTATGTTTCGGTATTTTATGTTATGCACTAGCGACTTGACATGTTGACAATGTTTCGTGTATTTCTCAGTGAGTTTCTAAGTTTTTGAAATAGTTGTTTTCTGCTGTAGTTGAGTGGTTCGCCGTTTGGTTCACGTTGAGTGTTAACGTCGTACGTATGAGGACGTCGTTGTAATCGTGAGATAGAGAGTGGGGAAGCTTAAGGGAAAGAAGAGGGGGTAGCTGTCTTTTTCAGAGCTTGTATTACACATTGACAAAGTATAAACAGTGCATTGCAGGTTATTGTGAGAGTTGATGCTAACAGATGAAGGACTATTGTGTTCTAATGAAGGTAATTCTACAAGAGACTGATCGACTGGCAAAGATTGTTGTGTGGCACATGCATTGCTTACACTAATATTGATTTGGTGTGGTTTTGGAGATAAGGAAATGGAAGTATTTGTGGGTAAACAAGAACGAACAACAGAAGCATAAGAAGAATTTATGTTGCGATTTGTTGAATGTGATGTTTTGGGGGAAGTGTGATTTGTGTTTAGTCCTCTAGCAGAACCTAAAGACGAATTTGGAAGAATTGAGTGATAGAGGTATTATTGCATGGGACGTTGGTAGCTTCTGAGATAGGGAGAAATGTAGAATTTGAACAGGAAGGAGTAGAAGAACTATTAGAAGTATAAATAGGAGATGATTGGGGTAACTTAGAAGAGGAAGACAAGAGTGGGAGAACGAAAACTGAGGCCAGGGTGAAAATACAAAAAAAGTTAAGGTGAAGACCATCTGTACCCCTTCCCTCTATCCTCGTGGTCTGCACGTATGTGGCGCCCACTAACAGTGTGTCTTGCAAGTGTCCAAATAACTACTTCTATCACTTCAAAAGTTAGAGCAGAAAGGCCTCGTGTTTATATAAAATTCAAGAAACAAACAAAAATCCAAAGATAAAAATATTACACAGTCAACTGACCTTCGCAGTAATCAGAGATTCGCGGATTTTGTGTGTGGAAGAACAGGTGAAAGGATTTGTTGTAGGTAAGATTAAAGACTCGTTGTGAAGTTGAAGCAAATATAAAAGCTTTATTTTTCTTTCAGGATAAAAGCTGAAGTCAGAACTATTGCACTGATAAATATAAAATTAAGAATAATATTAATGAATAAAACTGTTTTGAATATCATACAAGGAAAACAAACATGACTTCGTAATAAACTGAAAACTAAGTGATTGACTGAATGAAGAAGGTTCATACATCATCACATCGGAGAAGACTCAAATAACAAAGAAAAGACTCAAAGGAGGTTTCTTGTAAGATGGAAACGAATCTGATGAAAACCACTCTTACTTTACACATTCGTTCTGCAGTTTACAATAATAAAATTGGAGCTTAAGAATTATGAAATAACTCTGCTCCATGTGAGAGTTGTAGAGAAATTCTACATACATAAAACAATTCAACTATCCGACTAAACAGTAGATAGCTTCACTAACCGAATCACACTACAAAAATAAACACCCAAGGTTGAACTGACATATGGCATTGTCCGAATTTAGCATGTTTCGAATTAGAACTCCATATATGTACTTATACCACAAGCCCCCCCCCCCCTTTAGTGGCACAGACGTATCACTGACAGACTTACAACGTTAAAAATCGGGTTTTGATGACCGTAGTGGGCAGAGCACAGACAGCCCATTGTGTAGCTGTATGCTTAATTACAAACAAACAAACAAAGCTACCACGATAATTAGGTTAAAGCTTATTACAAAAATAATAATTAGTTTCCGAATTACTTTTTGAGGATCATTTACCGTCATTATCTTCGCTTTAAAAAGCGATACAATTTTCCTCCTTCGTAGTTTGTTATACACAGCTTTACCTATATATATATATGTATGTATAAATAACATTTAAATAAAGAAAAACAAGCCCAAACAAAAATTAAATTATAGATGCTGCATAAATTAAAAGGATCCTCAGGCTACTGGCTAGATTGTAGGATATACTATATACCCTCCTATACCCAGGGCACATTTTATATCGCACATAATAGCCTATATCCTGGGAATCGTTTTAATTTACGCGGTGTCTTTAATTTAAATTTTTGTTGATTTAAATGTCATTTATCACATGTTTGGATTTACTGTTTTTAACGTAGTCCTTCCTTTTGATTTTATTTTGCTTGGCTGTTTAAGTATTAATTTTCTATATATATATATATATATTTATATATTTTACAGATAGCAATTTTGTGTTGGGAAATGCACAAGTTCCTTCAGCTTATCCGATTGTGTACTGCTCTGATGGATTCTGTGAACTGACTGGTTTCTCTAGGGCCCAGATCATGCAGAAAAGCTGTGCTTGCATTTTCTTGTTCGGTCCTGAGACAACTAATGAAGACAAAGAACAAATTGAATGGGCGCTGAGTAACAAAACGGAGCTGAAACTGGAAGTGGTGTTCTATAAGAGAAATGGTGGGGTTCTCTTCTTATTTAAATTATTGTATTATTTTTCTTATTTATAATGAACTACCAATAACTATAAAAAAAAACTAGAATGTATCCGAGTTTTATGCAAACTTTAATGTTCGCCGGTGTTTTAGCTTTGAGCTTGAGGGCTTATAATATTCAATGTTTGTACTGTCGGTGGACACAGCCCTTTGATTTTTTTTTTTTAAAGCAAATAAACAAATTAATAATCTAACGTTTTGGTAGTTAGTTCTACATAACCGCCTAGAAATAAAAACACATTTTTTTTCGTTTTAAGTAAAGCTAGTAAATTGCTACTGATGTTTCCAGCTTAAATTTCATTATCTGATTGTGTATTTGAATTTCATCAAACAATTATAGAATAAGACAATATTTCTTATATTTTCGAAAATTTCTAAGCTAACATTTTCATGTTACTTAATCTTTTAATTCGATTGCTTGAATGGTTAAAACATTATTTTATGCAATAACCGAATAAAACGTATATGTCTCTAATCTGACATTTTTCATTTTGTCTCGAAATGTTTCTGTAGGCAGTCCTTTCTGGTGTCTTTTGGACATTGTTCCCATTAAAAACGAGAAGCACGAAGTGGTTTTATTTCTTGCTTCTCATAAGGATATTACGAAGACCAAGATAGCTGAAATGGAAATGAAGGACACGTACGACAGTGGTAAGTTAGGCTAGAGTGCTAATTGTATTTTCTTGACATTTTATGTAGGCTCGGTCGTGTTTTAAATTTTGTTGTTTTTATCAATCAATAGCTTTTGCAACTCAAGCAGATTACAAGTTTTCACTACAAGCGATTGTTAACGTCAGGGATTAGCCGTCACTAAATCAAGTAATGAAGCATCATAATAATTTATTTAACTTAAAATACACACACACACACACATCACAAAGGACATTCCTCTAGATATTTATTTTTAAAAAATGTTTTAATTTTTTGGTCCATACTTAACTAATCAATAATAAAAATTCACACGTAAAAATATTTAATTGAAAATAGTTTTGTTTTTTTTTGGGGGGGGGGTAGTTTTAATTATCTTTTAATAACTTGATGATTGAAAAGGTCATTTTTGTAAACAGGAGATACGATCTATGGTTATAAAAAGATGAACATTTTCTTCGATATAATATTTGTCCATTAAGGGTTAATCAGGCGCAAGAACGCTTTATTTAACCCAATGCTCACTTAATTAGCTTTTATCGATACGAAAACGTTCATCTATTAAGCTTCCTTTCGACATAAGCTCTTTTTATTTAATCCCCCCACTCCCAGTGGCACAGCGGTATGTCTGCGGACTTACAACGCTTGAAATTGGGTTTCGATACTCGTGGTAGGCAGAGCACGGATAGCCGTGGCTTTGTGCTTAACTTCAAACCTAACCTTATTTAATTTTATGCTCTTCTATTAAGATTTCACTAGGCACTACCATTTTGTTTAGTTTAATGTTCAACCATTTTGGTTTCAAAAGATTGAAAAACATTTCATTTGGTCTATCGTCAGTTTATTAAGGTTTCTTGAGATATGAGAACATCTTATTAAACTTAATGTTCATAGAAGAACGTTCATTTAAAAACTTTTTATTTGTATTATGTTAAATTGCAGATAGATTCAATGTCTTTTATGAGAAACAAGCCAAGCCAAATTATGTCTGAAAATTTTCCATGACATAAGAAAAACGTTTATATGATATATATAACAATGAGTTTCGAAATTGAGGGTTGTTTTGCAAGGTTGCTTGAAACTTTCAACACCTACGACGCAGGAATTAACTTCCCTTGACATTTATAAAACTCGTGTTTATGTCGTATAACTTATTATTTAGTAGTTAAACTCATCAGCAAAGTTTACATAACTTCAAGAAAGTCCTTTGCGGGTGGTGACGGGGGAGTAAGTAGTGAGGATGGGTTTGAGCTTCAGTCATTAGACGGTTTTGTTTATTTATTTTTGTTACCTCTCTTTGCATAATTTGTCTTACACTTGTTTCTTATATAGAAGATGCCAACGGTAACCTCGACCCTGAGGGATGCTTACCCACTAACAACTACCAACGTCGTAGAAGTCGTGCTGTGCTTTACCAATTATCTGGCCATTACCGTCAAGACAAGATGAAATCCAAGCTCAAGTTGAACAATGTAATTTTAGGTTCTATTCTACCAGAACACTCTTTAACTTAAAGTCAACGAGTTCATTGACATAGAACACTGCAAATTCAAGTTTTTTAAACCAATCTGCTGTCTGTACAACCATCCAAAAATTCAGGTGGATAGCATAGCAATAGAAAATTGTTTTTGTTGACATTTAAACATGAACATTTTGGAGAAAAGTTGGTTTGTAAAATTTTTTGGTCACTGACCAGCCTTGTAATAAAGTTTTATAGATATTTATTTACATTTACGTTTACCTTTATATTTCTCTTTATCGTCTTCAAATAATTTGTTACATGAGTTTCTAGAAAAAAATGGAACCTGTTTTCTACTTCGCAGTTACGAAGCTGTTATTTGTTAAACATGTGACCAACCATTCTCTGTTTATCAACGTATCTATATGAAAGACCCGTATATCTATCTGGTTGTATTATTTTTCGTCAATCTATAACCTCTCTACATATCTTTCTGGTTATATTTCTTCTTGGTTACATATAGATGTTCACTAAGTTGTATCTTTCCTTATGCCTCGTTCTGTGCACTTAGCTGTCTTTCTTCTGCTGTTTAAGCCTCCGTGTTTAGCATAATGTGTGAATGCCCATCTTCGGACTCCTATCTAATTTCATTATTCCAAATGTTTGACTCGAAATATGAACAACAATTAAAAGTATATGCGCTAACCAGTATATTTTATTTGTATATGAATATAATTAACAAACATTTTCTCTTAGTAAAATAAATTGAAAATTAACGAAGTTACGTTTAAAAATTTCTTTAATTGCATCTAAGCGCATAGATCTACACTGCAGTTAGAAATTCAATTATTTTGGTAAAATAAAAACTTAAACTTAACTTTTCTAATGGAATATTGGGTTATGAGAATTGTTGAAGACATTTAGTATTTTATAAACATTAAAAATACCTTATCCAAACGATAAAAGAATGTCATCATATTTTAAATTAGGTGAAAATTGCATTATATTTCACCAAACTTGATACCTGAAATATAAAAATAGGCTTAATGCAAGTATTTGAAGCTCGACAAATTTTATGTTAATGTTTCTAAATTTGAAGGCCATAGTTTCATTGAGAACGGGTTACATTACACAGGATATCCTATGTAACATATTTACAAAGTGTATAAACATTAGTGATATAGAATATTTACTACAAACTCATGAGTATATTTCTGATTCTTATGTTTCTCTGATATAATCGACCACAACTGTATTGTAGAACGTTTCTGAAATCCAGTCGTTAAAGTATGAAGTTTGATTGTGTTTGAAGTGTAATTCATCTTAATTTTGATCCTATAAACTATCTTGTTTCTAGAACCTCCTTCATTCAACTTCCCTTCCAGAATACAAAACTGCAGCCGTAAAAAATTCCAAATTCATTGTTTCCCATTATGGTGCTTTTAAGACATGCTGGGATTGGCTAGTCCTTGTTGCCACTTTTTATGTTGCCATCGTTGTGCCCTACAGTGCTGCGTTTCGGGACAACAATGAAAGTCCATCTAGGAACAAGACAATCATATGCGACGTGATTGTTGAGGCTTTTTTCATTATAGGTAAGTACAAAGAACCATTTGATATCCTCAAATCAGGATAAGGCCCAAAAACACGCTATCATCTTTCATTATACCTACTATAACCTAAAAAGGTTTTCGATAATTCGCTGGTTTACAAAATATTGTAAAAATGCAAATTATAAAGCGTTTCACGCTTCGTTCACATTTATTCTATATGTTTTCATCACGAAATTTATTGTATACCTATCCAATAATTTCCTGTAGCTTCGGAGAATAAATTTGAGATTTGATACAACCGATTTTTTTTTTTAAATTGCTAGAGCACTAGAATAATCAGACTTCAGCTGTTAAAGAGTAAAAATAAGAATAATTGTTAAGCCTAATGCATGAATTGGAACTCGTCAATAATGACATTTATTCAATTTTATTGTGCAATAAACTTGTGTTTAAAAATTACTTATTTATATGAGATCTGGAAGACTATAAAACAAAGTTTGAAAACAAATTCACGAAAATAAACCCACAGTGGCACAGCAGAATATCTGTGGACTTACAATGCTTGAAATAGGGTTTCGATACCCGTGGTGACAGAGCATAGATAGCCCGTTGTGTAACTTTATGTTTAGCTTCAAACAAACATGTGGTGCTTATGAACCGTGTTCTACGAACCTAACTTGAACATTTTAAATTGCAAGACTAGTAAAGAACGTAAGCGACTTATCAGTATATAAAACTGGGAAGGCAAAATTTTGAAACTGAGGTTACCATACTTTAGTTCCCTATAACATATGCAAGTCGGCTTCATGTCTACTTTTTGCTTCGCTATACCTACAAAATATGGGAAAACTTATAAAAGAGAGAGAAATATATATAATAAAAATGATTTTATGATTGAAGTGTTTGCTTGTTCTAAGTATGGCGTTCATTGTAATTAAGATCACTCGAGACTACACCACTTACCACCCCCTCAAAATTATGTACAACAAGCGAATAATTTACATTAGAGTGCATTACACCATATACATTATATGTTCATATCACATACATGAGAGCAAATGTAATGTATTTTATTATTAATGAGAAGTATGCTAATTATTATTCTTTAAAAGTCTCAAATGTTTTATAAGATTGATAGTGTTAAGGGTTATAACAGTTCACAAATGAACAATGCATTAATGAAAGTACACTGTTTAAAGAAGAGATTATTTCACTGGGCTAATTTTGCTCAAGGTTAAAAATCGAAGGTTTTGTTTTCTAAAGGATAATGTTTAAGAAGACGAACTTTTCTTTTATAAGTCGTCTCATTTATTATGAAGAGAGAGAGAAAAAAATGTTATGGTTGTTATTGTTCATTTTTATGATTCTAATAAATAGTTCTATTTATGCCGTACTCATAATTATTTCGTGAAGACGAGAGTCAAAATTGTTCACCAAACTAGCTTTCTGTGCACCAGTTGATAGACCAAACTAACTTTCTGTGCACCAATTGATAGGATACTTACGTTTACCTTATTTAAAATACAAAAAGAAATACGAATGAAGTTTAATATGAATTTCGCGCAAAACTACAAGAGGGCTATCTGCGCTAGCCGTCCCTTATTTAGCAGAGATAGCTAGCTAGTCAACACTACCCACCACCAACTCTTGAACTACTCTTTTACCAACGAATATTTGGATGGACCGTCACTTTATAATGTCCCCACGGTTGAAAGGGCGAGCATGTTCGATGATATGGAGATTCGAACCCGTGACCCTCAGAGTGTCTGCGAAGATCGGTAAGAATCCAAACAATTGGCAAAATTTTCTGTTGAATTAATAATGGTATAATAATTTTATTAGTGTTGTTGTTATTATAGAGGTTACCTGAAGTTTGGTATGTTTTATTCCTATTTATCAGCGTACGTCGTTTCTAAGAACATGATTTTATAACTACTGTAAATATTGTTGATTTTATTTGTTTATTTTGAATCTTGTAAATCATCAAATACTAAAAGAACCACTGTTATTATGAAGACACTTTTGTGAGCAAATAATATTTTTTTATATTGAAAGTGCTTGTAAGCACCAATTAGGATATGTGCTTTTATTTCATGCTAGCTTTGTTCTATTTATTTAGCTAATCATTATTACGAGTTTTATTATATCATAAAAGTGTTCTGGTTAATTCTATCACTCTGTAGTTTTCGGTTATTAACCGCATATTTTGCTGGTTATCTTATGCGTGAGTTATTCAGTTTTTCTCATGAACTATTTTTTTATGCAATTCCACAAATTAAAGACGTCTAGATGGTTGTTTGTTTAAGCAATGTTTCATTTCTCTGATTTCTTTAAACAGATATCGCTATCAACTTTCGTACAACATTTGTCAGCAGGAAAGGAGAAGTGGTAGCAAAGCCGAAATCTATTGCTGTACATTACGCCCGAAGCTGGTTCATTGTTGACCTCTTGGCTGCTTTACCGTTTGACCTGTTGTATGCTGCAAATCTGTACAGTAGGGTAAGCACTTAATGAAGCAAAGAAATCTCCATCTAAAGAAAATTCATCACAGAATGTTTTTTTATATAAAAAAATAACGATATTTAGTTAGGTTAGATTCGTTCAAAAGGTTCGTCATAACATTTATTTTTATTAAAAAGTACACGTTATTGAAGGAAAACGAACTAAAAACCTCTCTTTAGGTAAAAGTAAAGATACACTAACTGCCCAATAACTTATGATCTCTTTTGCTTCTTTAAGAACAGAAACTTGTACATATATAGTCAAAACAATGTTTATCTTTTTATAAGTTATGTTTACATTGTATATACTTTCACAGAATGAACGGTAGATAGTTTGAAAGTGTTGGATGGCTGCAGTAAAAGTCTACGCAACGAAATGTGAGGTATCTTTACGTTGGCCGGATATGGCTTAGCAATTGCATGTTGGACTGTAAATTGTAGGATTCATGGCTCGCGTCCCGTTACCGCAAAATCGCATTTCGCACTTTGGAGCCGTGCGTGCGTTATAAGAGTGAAGGTAAACTTTGACTATTCAGTTAGGGTTGCCCAAGCGTTTTCTATTGATGCTGATGACTGGTTGTCTTCCCACTGGTTTATCAGCTTAAGACTAGGAACGACTAGCGCATTTAACTCTTGTGGAACTTTGCATAAATATTCGAGGTGAACACATAAGTTTAACGATATATTTTATATGTGCCAAGTTGCATCTTAAAGGAATAAAGGATATTGATGATGGAACATATAACATCCTTACGTTAGCTATCAGATCTTAACATAAGAAATAACTCGAATGTCTTTTTCTGAAACTGTATTACTAATAACTCCAGCATTACAACAATTTGTGTATTTAACAAAAGCCAAATCAGAACCTTGAACACCGTTTATTTCAATTAAGATTTAATATTAAATTCCTGAGTTTAAAAATATGTTTATTATTTAAATTTTCAAAGTATGATAATTTGTTTTCTTTAAAGTATAGTAAATATTGATTTTATATTTAGTGATACGTGTTCTATGTTTCAACAAATGTGTTCAGTAGCGCTGTTTTCAAATAATATTGACTAAAGTTTCATTTTTATTGACGTACTTGCTCAATACAATGTTACGGTTTGTAATACAACAGAATCTTTAACTACGATGTATTAGTACTGATTAATTCAGCATAAAATAATGGTTGAGGAACCACTTACTCAATACGACTCTGAATATTTAGAAAATACTATCAAACATAGTATAGTCAAGATGCAAACTTTAGAAGCGAGAGAAAGTAAAAACAAGTCTTGCTAGTCGTATGAGAGCAGGAACAAGCGAAGAAATCAATGTACATGTTTGACATTTGCCACGGATGTGATAAAAAGGTAAATAAGCAGTATTAGGTTGAGTTGCTTAGCAAGATAATGTAAAAAAATAAAGATTTTTTTTCAGAGATTTTGTTGTCAAAAATGATTAGTAACATATATAAACAAATTATTGAAACTGTTCGTAAGATAAGAAGCCTTATTTATTGCTTGAATAGTTTTGAATGAATTCAGATTAAATCTATTCTCCATAAATGAGAATTAACATAAATCCCACGTTTTTAACAGTAAAAGGTGAACTGTGCGGTCAATACGGTTTCTAATTAACGAAAGTCTTTCGGAGCTGCTGTAATCTCATTAATCTAGCTCATTTATTTATACAGTTCTGAAGTTCACAGAATAATCAAGTTATTCTTCAACAGAATTAATCTGCATAATATGGTGACATGTAGAATTAATCGTATTAGGTACTGTCTTTCCTTTACTAGAAATCATTCATTATCGACTAATGCTTTTGTTATTAAACACATAAAATATTAACATTGTACTTTTATTATATTGTGTCACTGACCTGTGTTTTATTAAACACAGAGACTCAGTGTTTTACTGCGCAAAGCGTGAGTATGGTGGTAGGACACTTTAAATCACTTTAAACCTTTTTTTTACGTATGTTACCTGACTTGACATGGAAACATCTACTTTATAACATTATAAAAGGAAGTGAGAATAGTAATATATTCTTAATTCGAAGGTATATGTCTTATTGTAACTTCTAGTCTTAGTCCTAGCAGGTAGAAATGTACGTAGTTTAGCCTATCATCAATACTTAATAACATGGTCTAGATTTTTGATACGTTTGAACAGCTGGGATAACGTATGCTGTTTTACATATATATGTGATATGGTATATATATAACGATATGATAAACCACGGACGCAATACAATGATAAATTAGGCCCTGTCAACATCATGTATGATATAGCCATCTATTTCAATTAACAGATCATTTTTATATAGATTTTATTAAAGTAGTGGAACGAGCAATCTATCAGTCGTCTTTCAGTGGAGATAGGTTTGCATAATTATGTAGAAATGTTGAGTTTGTGGTTCTCTGAAACCTGTGGTAAGTATTGAATTTTGTATTATTTGCAATTTCTTAAGATTTGTTTTTGATACGTTTAATCATGCAGAGCATGCATATTCTGTTACTAGTCTGATATATTGTTTATAGATTTTAATAATATTTTCTGTGGATGCTCCTGTGTTTTTGCTGTTAGTCTTTTGAGATATTTTGCTCGTTGCCACATTTTTTTCGTAATTTCGGATATATGTTTTCTCTAAGTTAATTTTGAATCATATATTAGGCCTAAAAATTTTGATGATGAACTGTTGTTGTGGCTGTGTTCTTAATGTGGTTTGCTGCGTAGTGTTATTATTTATGTTGAAAATTCTTGTTTTAATTTCTTTATATTTTAGGCAACCTTTATAGTTGGCCGTGTGGTGTTGGTTACAATTACAGCACAAGGGCGTACTATTTTCCTTTGTACAGTTAGTTACTTGTGAGGTGGTTACCTTCACATCCAACACATGGTGGTAATGACTTGCATGCTGCTGTTACGTGACCGTAGCGTTGGCAGTTGAAGCATTATGCAACAACCAGGGCCGGTTTTTTGTTTCTTCGACTTCAAACTTGTGGTACCAGAGTCTGATACCGTTAGTTATCAGTTCCTTAGTTACGTTGTGTGTGTGTTGTCTGTATAAACTTTGACAATGTGCGTTAGTTGTTGTGTTCTACTTGAAATTATTCCTTCGATTTTTGTGAGTTCATCTTTAATGTCGTCAGTGTTAATGGAATTGTGTATTTCTCTGATTATAAAAGACTGTGTGTTGAGTTTCATATCCGGTATGTGTGTTATTATTTTACCATGTCTGAAGGAAGCTTTCGGCCATTCAACTAGTAGAACGTTTAAGTCCTTGGTTTCTGTTCCTTTTACGAGGACTCCGCCCTTAGCTAAACACTTGATAGTAGTTATGTTTGCTTGTGGTTTGTGTTTCCTTATTTCTGTAGCTAATTGTGGTTCTTTGTATGAACCGAGTATTACTTCAATTATAATGGCATGCTTCGATGGTTCCTGTTTGGTTTGTGTAGTATTTGTGTTGTTCTTTTTTGTTTTCCTTTGTACAAGAATGAATCTTTCTTCATCCTGTTGTTTAGTGTTAGTGTCCAATGTTAATGTGGTTTCATTTTCAATTACTTGTTCATTTGATTTTACAGTTTCAGTGATCGATCTTCATCACTTAAAACAGTTTCGACTGAGCTTTGGCTTTCTACGGAACACATAACCCTTTTTCTTTTTTTTTGTTACCTTACCTAGCTGTGATTTAGCTCGACTAATTAAATTATCTAGGTCTAAAATAGAACCCCTGTTAATAGCACTTGTGCTACCCACACTATACTCACCTAAGTGGGAAGAAGTAGATGTTTTGTTTAAGTCACTCGAAGACCCGTAGTCTTCTTTTTCGTCTTGATTGTCGCGTCACGCCCGACGACCAAGCGTAAACGTTGAATTCTGTTGAGGCCTGTTGTTTTAAAGTGTTGTCAAGAGACCAGAGAGAGAAAATAATCAGAAGTAAATGTGGACTTTTCTTGTGGAAGTAGGTTACCGGTCTTGTAACTGTAGACCTAACCCTAATCGTCTGTTGTTGATAGACATATTTACTGATGGTTAGGCCCAAATTAGGGTTTTTTGAAGGGAAGTCAGCGCTGGTTTCAAAAATAATTAAGTGTGCTTAAAGGAATGAAATCAAAATTGCAGGCCAAACTGGCAGCTACACCTATAGCATTGATAAAAAATTTTACAGCAAATATTCATTCATTAGTCAGCTAGACCGCGTATTTTGTTTTACTTACCAATATGCCACATGTTGTCTTATTGTGTCAACGACAATGATAAAATTATAAATCTAGTTGCAACTGATTCTCATTGTAAGGCCCTATTTTAAAAAATTTGAAATAATCAACATTTCATCCCATGTTAAATGTGAGTTGACCGGTCTTGGCGGAGATTCTGTTCATCATTTCTTTTATTTACTGAGAGTAATTTCTCTAATTAATAAAATGTCCATTTTGTCTTCTGTCATCGTAACTAAAAGATAAATCTAAATCGCTTAAGGTCTTTCTTGGGTGACTTTTTCTTTTGTTACTGAAAATGATTAAAATATAACACTAACTCGCATTCTTGAAGAATATATATCATGGTTATCGGGAAATAAGTTTTAATAATTTTTTAAAACGAAACAAAAACTGTTTTCATAAAGATCCTTCGCAAGATGCAACTAAGGAGTTTAGAATTTTACAATAAGGAGTATTGTGATTCTAACTTTATTAAGCACTGTTCACAACTTATATTGTATTTGTTAATAATATTCAATATCAATTTGCAATTACCATGGAAAGTTTACAAGTATCTGGGGCAGAACCCTTTCATAAGTATTTTCATTAGTTTAATATGTATTCTTACAAAATGTCTTTCAAGCCAGCTTCATTTTATCCCATCCAAATTCACGCAGAAGAGGAGTTTAACAAGCGTAAAACCAGAATGTCCACATTCACTTTCTCATAGTTACAATACAACCCTTAGCACTGACGAACTATTACACGGGATATTAGGTTAACAAGTTGTAAACATCTAAATTCTTGTTTGTGGATTAATTTCTAGATGTGAGTTGAATATAATGATATCAAACATTCTTGAGGTTCTTGTATTTTAAGTTGTATCAGATAATTTTGATTTGCCATTAAGATCAGCACTTCTTGATATTTATCTCTAATACTTCGTATACATCATGGTATTATGGAGTAGAACCCTAAGCTGGAGAAATGTGATCCATTGACCATAATATTATGAGTAGAACTACGAGTTGGAGAAGTATGATCTATAATCATAATATTGGGGAGTAGAAATCCAAACTGGAGAAGTATGATAAGAGAAGTATAATATTGTGGAGTAGAATCCCAAAATGTAAAAGTGTGATCCACTGATCATAATATCGTGGAATAGAACCCGAAACTGGAGAAGTATGATAAGAGAAGTATAATATTGTGGAGTAGAACCCCAAAATGTAAAAGTGTGATCCACTGATCATAATATCGTGGAATAGAACCCGAAACTGGAGAAGTATGATAAGAGAAGTATAATATTATGGAGTAGAACCCCAAAATGTAAAAGTGTGATCCACTGATCATAATATCGTGGAATAGAACCCGAAACTGGAGAAGTGTAATCCCTTGAATGCAAGACGTTTAACCACTTTGCTGTGTCTCCAGTTGGCTCTATTCCCTAGGTGAACACAATGTAGGTAACTAATTGTGTATTTTGTCACTAAAATCAACGAGTTTTGTTGCGTTGGTTCGTTTTTTTTAATTCTATAAGTTCCTTAAATGTAATTTATTCGAAAAAAAAACACATTTGACAAACATTTCAATATATATATTTAATGTTTTATCTCTTATGCCATACGGTAACAACTGTAAATATATTATTACATTTAGGAATGTTTTTTTCAAAAAATGCAACAACTGCCAATATAGACTTTTTTTCTTTATCAAAATGTGAAATATAAAAAAAACGTAATTAAACTGCTGGGAAACAAGTGTTTAATTATGTTTAAAATTACAATAATTGATCGTGAGTGCAGACAGCACTTGTAAATTACCTTGATCGAAACTGATAAAAACTTCTGCTATTACATTAATTCTACGATTGATAAATGGTCATTTAGTGTTATTCGGCCAACATTTCAAAACTTCTCTTTAGCAGAGACGGATATGAGTATTAAAAAACTTTTATTTACGAACGCGGTACAAGTAATAACGTTTCGACCTGCTTAACTTGATGATGACCTAAGCAGTTCGACAAGTTGTTACATGTATTGTATTTTTAAATAAAGGTCTTTTAATACTTATATTAGCCGTCTCTGTTACGGATTTACTTCTGTGTTCCTCAACATCATGAATGATGTCACAAACTTCATGAAAACATGATATTACAGTATCTAATATAACAAACACGTTAAAATAGCGTACTTTACTAGTAGTAAATAACCAATGACTGAACTTTGGTCTTGTTGGTGAAAGCGGAAAACTTTTAGTGTATTTCGGGCTACAATACCTTCAGTCTGTATAAAATAAATATCTTATTTTTTCAAAGCAAGCATACATATATATATATATATAATACAGTACAAAAAGTTTCATTTCTCCTAGAACTTCTTATAATGTAAAGCTATCAGATCAAACCTATTCCTTTCTAGGAAACACATGATAATGCTTTTAAAACCAATGAAAGGAACTCCACCCTATGTATACCATGTATAAAAGATTTTCCTACTCTTCTCCTTAATGTATAAATAACACCAACAACCAAATAGATCCTGGAAAATGTAGTAAAGTTGTCCACACCGTATTTAAAAAGAAAGTTAGATACCTGAGCTAAGTTAGAGTGAAAAGTATTGATGGAAGATGTATGTTCGATGTAAGATAAAAATTATAACAATTGTAGTATACGTACTGTTTGAGTTTAAAATGTTGTTATTCAAAAGTGGAACTAAACATTGACACAAACCATTCCATCAGGACTTCCTCATCAGGATGAAAACGTCTTCATCGTTTTTGAAAACTTTATTGTCAGGAAAATAGGTCGCTGTCCACTGAGTTTGTGCTAAAGTTTAAAAATGGCTTTATGATTGACCGATTAATTTGACTAGTTGTGTTCCATTGGAGTATTAGTTTCGTTATCGTTTATTTTACTATAAGTATAACCAATTTCAATAATTCTGTTGAACAATACTATAATTTCATCGTGATTATATTAATATTTAAAGCAATTTTTAGTTCGTTTACCACTTGACTAAATTGAAACTTTCTATGTATGTAGTGTACAGAAATTACATAATAATTGCATTGCAAGATAGTATATAGAGAATAAATAATAATTACATTACAACGTAGTATATAGAAATTACACAATATTTACATTTCAAGGTAGTATATAGAAATTACACAATATTTACATTTCAAGGTAGTATATAGAAATTACACAATATTTATATTTCAAGGTAGTATATAGAAATTACTTAATAATTACATTGCAACGTATTATATAGAAATTACTTAATAATTACATTGCGACGTATTATATAGAAATTACTTAATAATTACATTCCAACGTATTATATAGAAATTACTTAATAATTACATTGCAACGTATTATATAGAAATTACTTAATAATTACATTCCAACGTATTATATAGAAATTACTTAATAATTACATTCCAACGTATTATATAGAAATTACTTAATAATTACATTCCAACGTATTATATAGAAATTACTTAATAATTACATTCTAACGTATTATATAGAAATTACTTAATAATTACATTGCAACATAGTTATATTGTAGTATATATAAATTACACTATAATTACAATGCAAGACTGTGTCTTCCAAGACTCACTTATTGACAGGTTAGAAAGTTACATACATTAAATTAAGGGCATTTATGTAACCATTTCTAATATTTTCACGTAGCACCTGTTGAAAATATAGACTGATTAACACTCTATTTGTAACTAGCAGTTTTTGTTGAAACATACAAAATATACCTAAAACTTAACACTCTACTTGTAACTAGCAGTTTTTATTGAAACATACAAAATATACCTAAAACTTAACACTCTACTTGTAACTAGCAGTTTTTATTGAAACATACAAAATATACCTAAAACTTAACACTCTACTTGTAACTAGCAGTTTTTATTGAAACATACAAAATATACCTAAAACTTAACACTCTACTTGTAACTAGCAGTTTTTGTTGAAACATACAAAATATACCTAAAACTTAACACTCTACTTGTAACTAGCAGTTTTTGTTGAAACATACAAAATATACCTAAAACTTAACACTCTACTTGTAACTAGCAGTTTTTGTTGAAACATACAAAATATATCTAAAACTAGCAATGGAACAAAATCAGATACGTCAGACAAACATTTCATGCATTTACGAATTATGTATTTTTTGTAGAAAACTAAGTAATTAGAAAACTTCTTCTCTCGGTATACATTACCTTACGAGGTTTCGTCACTAATTTTTACCTTCAGAACAACATTCAAGTTGATTTACTGTAAAATGTAACACTTAAAGATATTTTTAAGTAGTTGATTAAATTTTAAGGGATATATATTTTTAATTCAAACAAAACAGGAGTTCCCAACATCAAAGCCTATAAATGGTATGTACAAAGAAACCCAGATAGATATGACAATACACAATGAAACCTTACAAAGGAAATAAGGATAACAATATAAATTTGAATGTTTCTCTACTATATTTATACTAACTTTCGTTTCTTTTGTGGCAATTTAAGTACCAAGAGAGTGTAGCAACTCAAAATAGTACACTGTGTAACTGATATTTGCGTATTTGTTCAACTGTTATATCGCTTTTCTTAATATCTCGTTTCCAGAACATGAAAGAGTTCGTTAATAATTCGAACTGCATATTGTATGAAAATACTGTTATAAACAATGAAATAGATGATTTGTTTCTAAATTGTTTCATAGTTCATAGAGGAACGAAATTTTGATCTGTTTTAATTTATTATCTAACATTATTTTCACAACCCTACCGATGAAGATGTTTTTGACTTACTCTCCTAGAACACTTTGATAAAATGTTTTTGACTTACTCTCCTAGAACACTTTGATAAAATGTTTTTGACTTACTCTCCTAGAACACTTTGATAACATGTTTTTTGACTTACTCTCCTAGAATACTTTGATAAAATGTTTTTGACTTACTCTCCTAGAACACTTTGATAACATGTTTTTTGACTTACTCTCCTAGAATACTTTGATAAAATGTTTTTGACTTACTCTCCTAGAACACTTTGATAAAATGTTTTGACTTACTCTCCTAGAACAGTTTGATAAAATGTTTTTTTAGTTACTCTCCTAAAACATTTTGATAAAATGTTTTTTGACTTACTCTCCTAGAATACTTTGATAACATGTTTTTGAGTTACTCTCCTAGAACAGTTTGATAAAATGTTTTTTGACTTACTCTCCTAGAACACTTTGATAAAATGTTTTTGACTTACTCTCCTAGAACACTTTGATAAAAATGTTTTTGACTTACTCTCCTAGAACACTTTGATGCACTTACTCAAGCTAACCCGCCTGCTTCGCCTGGCTCGACTGCTTCAGAAAATGGACAGATATTCTCAATATAGTGCCATCATTCTTACTTTGTTGATGCTAATGTTCTCCCTAGTCGCTCATTGGATGGCCTGCGTCTGGTACGTCATTGCACTGGAAGAGATAGATGCTAATCCAATCCAATGGGATGTAGGTGAGATAAAATTTGATATTATGACACCTCTAATTCAATATTTGCCTTAAATTGGCATATTCAAAATAGTTTGAATATGCCGTACTCAATCATCTACATTTAGTGTCTTTTGTAATATCCATTCAAGTTGAGAAGTATATGACGTATAAGGTGTACCTAATTCTATGATATATAAAATGATATAGTCAATCACACATGTCTTAAAAGTCTTCGTACATGCAAGGTAAAAGTTGGTTTACCATTCTTACAAATAACTTCATAAAGTCATTATTGATCATAATAAGTTTGCTGCTTTGCAAATTCCGATCGAGGCCATTTGTTAAAAATCTAAACCATACCATGTTTGAACAAATCACTGAAAATTGATGTTCAACTTATGATTCACTCAACCGTGGTTGCCAATACTCAATATTTCAAATCATAGATACTGAGCTACAGTAATTAATAATTAGGTTAGTTCTGGTGCACATTAGAAATTAATAAGCAAGCACTCCGTATCAGGTCTTATTTATCAATATCGAGTTGATCCTTCGATCGATATCATAAAAATGTTTTCACATCAATGTGGGCTCCGATTTTAGATGTTTTTGACTCTAACATCCGTATGTTGTATATAAAGTGTAGAAGTAAAAGAAAACACTTTATCATAGTTATGATTTTCCTGTTTTCTATAGTTAACTTTAGTTTTAACTTTAATAATCATATTTCTTAACGTTAATAATTTTTTACAAGAAGTGTTCTTTAACGTTTTCTCGAGCACAGAGAAAGCATGAAACATTTTTCCAAATAATATGTCTTCTGGTGGATCAGTGATAGGTTTATTGACTTACGAAGCTAGACTTTGTGGTTCGATTCACCGCGGTATAATAAAAGCAGATAGTTAATTGTGCAAGCTTGTGCTAAACAAAACAAAACAAACAAATAATGTTTTGGGAGTTTATTTAAACGATACAAGTTCCCAAGCGGGATTAATAAGAACTCTCATTTAAGTTTCGAAAATAGCCCTATGAACTGTAAACAAATACATAAAAAATTGTTCAACTTCTAGGCTGAGTTAAGATATTGTAACTATACTTAAACTCTACTCAAAAATTATGCAGTCGGTTCACTTTCTTGTCTCTTTCTTTTTCACTTTAGTGTATTTACTAAAATAACAAAAATCACGTTACGCTTTTTGAGGCCAAGAAGTTATATAAGCGATTTAATTCTGGTTCTGACTACTTGCTTCTATGGAGCACAGTAAATAAGATATAAATTTCCATTATTGGCGGTTGTTGAATCAAGATCTCTGTCAAATCGTACTCATTCATAAAAATACAAAGTATATTCCTTATCTGTTGCTAAGAATAGATTGAGATATTTATATTTTTTGTTATTATTTGTTTACTATTCTCTTTCGGATTTTTCTGGCTTTTGTTCTGAAAATAATATTAAGAGATAAAATCAATTTATCCATTTGTTAGGACAAACTTAATAAATTGTTTGTACAAGAGATCAATAGAACACTCTTGTTTATTAACGAAACACATTTGTTTGTATCTTCTCCGTTATACTACATCTTGAGGTTATAAAACACACTGAGAGTTCCTAATGAATAGCAGCGTGATTTATTTTTGAGCTTGGTCTCAACAAAGAAAGGTAATAAATACTATGAAAGTGCTAAGGATGGTAACCCTGCCGGATCCCCTGGATAGTAACACATCTTCAACTTAATGATAGAAAATAAAACGTTACATTTTGCTCCAAATCCTGTCAACTTATCACCGTTTATGGCTATAACGTCGGACTGTTAATTTAACACTCTCGTTTACTGGGTGAATACTGGAGCAAATATTGATCGAGAAAATTGCAAGACCTTAGGATATGTCAGGAACGAAGAGATCCATGATGTCTGCTGCTTGAATTCACACGCTGCTATGTATGAGAGAACGATTCCTTAGTTGAATATATTTATATATATTGAATCAATAGAACCAAAAAGTCGGCTTAAATAAAAGAAACAATCTAAAGAAGTTGTTCCATCCTGGAAAATTAAATTTTTATGATTTGTTCAAAAATAGGAGAGAAATTATTACTAGGCACCTTTCATGTTAAGTAGCAGAATCTATAAAACAAATATGTTTTTAAGCCAATCTTCTTAAAGTCCGTTTTAAAGAAACATATTTTATAAATGATATTGTATTAAAAGATTATAAAGTTTTATATTGAGCTAAAAACAAAAAGGAATTACTGACGAGAAAGCTGTAGCTCTGAAAGTACCACTGGATCGTATGATATGATAGTCAATGTTAAGCAGTTTGTTAAATAATAAAAGTAACTTCAACAGTAAAGCCTAACTTACCTTAAATAGCCGCGTCTGTTCAACAGACATGTTTGTTAAGAAAAATACTTTTGCCATTGTAACCATTTTGAATGTTAGGTGATAGCTTCATTATAGATAGAGAGAGAATTATAATATTTTACTTTGTTCCATTTTAAAAGATTGTTTTCTTAAATATGGACGTTAGGAAATCGTTGGCGGAATTTACGAGGCATTTTACGTTACGAGAATGTCCTTGTCAAAAACACCTACGTGTACGAATTCTCTCACTCTTTTTAAATATAACAGAATTAGCAAATTAAGAACAATGTAATATTGATTACATCAGGGTTTTTGTTACGTCTAATATTTATGAAACTAAGCATGAGCTTTCCTTTTCGCCATAATATATATATATACATATTACTTTATTGGATAAAAATTTATGAATGTATATAAATATTACGTCGTCAAGAAATTAATGTCGCGTTTTGGTTTGTTTGTTTGTAATTAAGCACAAAGCTACACAATGGGCTATCTGTGCTCTGCCCACCACGGGTATCGAAACCCGGATTCTAGCGTTGTAAGTCCACAGACACACCGCTGTGCCACTGGGGGCGTCACGTTTTGGAACACTTTCATTAACCACCCTCCAAAAAACGTACATCACCTATAATAGTTAAAGAAATCGCCTAAACGTCACGTTAGTGTAGCCTATATAATGTGTAAAGTTTAGTATA